ACATTATTATAGACTGTGAAAAATAAAATGAAGAGTGAGGGTCTACGAAGCAGTGAAACTAACTCCTGAGAGAAAAATTGCATGTTTGTCATATGTTGCTCAGACGAAGCCTGCATTGACAAAGGGAGAAGAGTAGTTGATAGGCATAGGTGAATCTACATCTCCATGTCTTATATATTTTATCTCTGTGATGTTTCGAGCTAATTCTAACTTTTACAGAGTGGAAAGTCAACCGCATTACTTTTCTGCACCAAACCTCTACTTTAGGGCAACTTCAAGAAATTAAGTGATTCTTAATGTCTCTCTTGACCTATGTAAAATAAAGTGCGACTCATACAGCTGTGAGAGAATGCCAAGCAAAAACTAAGCTGATGTTTTTTAAAGCAACATAACTATGTGCCTGAACTACCTCAGTATTATGAGGAGAGCCTGAAGCTATTCTTCAGGCTCAGTCTGCTATAAGGTCCTTGGCAGCAATGCTTCTAGTTATCTTTTTGCGTGCTTGTCCTTCTGAGGAACTTTTTCCCATTTATTCTTTTTTCTGTTACTAAATCCAAAAGACTAGAGCTTATTCTTTGGTGTTCATTAGATCTTCATTTGCTCTTTTCATTCGAAAATCAATAGGATTCATCTCTAGCATTCAAAACTGAGGTTTTAAAATCTTACAAACTAAGATGTGCAATTATTTTAGCCAAACAGATGGAGTTTGAGTCACTGGCATATAATACTACTTATCAAAGCAGTCTGCAACAGCTACTGAAAGTTTTAAGAAACATGCTAAATTGTGGTTTCAAAAAAGACAAGATTACATTCTGCCAGGATTAAACCCTGTAATCTTACCAGTGAGCACAGTATAGAATCAGTATAGCTTTGTTTGTTTACATTTGTATTTGTGGTCTAAACTGGCAGGCAATAAAGCTAGACTTCTCAAAAGTTCTGGCAAGTAACAGAGTAGCAAAAAAGATGATAGCTATGACAAACAGATGTCTAGGCTATGTGTATGCGTGTGTGTTTAAGCAGTTCATGTTGAAGTTTCTGCTGGAAATGTTCAATATTAAATCATTTGAATTTGAAAGGGATGTACTATTTCAGATTAACGTTTTTCTTAGTTTAAGATGTAAAAAAAAATCAACATGTATTTCTAGATTTGCGACCCTGACCTTGCGCTGACATATGACAATAACCTTAAAGATTCTTAAAGGAAGTAACATGAAAAGTCCTTATTAGACAACTATTGACCGTAAACAAACAGCCAAAGTTATTCCAGAAAAATATTATGTTAAATTATCTGCTCTGGCAAATAGCAAATATCAATTTACTGTGACCTGAGGCTGCCCAGTTGCTGTTTCAGACGCTTCAGTAATCTCAAAATGGATTTAAATGCATTGAAATTATTTACCCGTAAGACGTATTCTGTATGCACCATACACTAGCTGTTTTGTGTGGGCACCAGAAGGTATTTTGCTCAGACACCTCGCCATTACCTTTTCATTAGAATGATATCAGAACATCAGGTAGTAATAGCGGCATAGCCTCCCACCTCCCTTAATCATGTCTGGCCAGTATAGGCGTGCATGATGCCACTTCACTCCAACTATTTCTAATTGCCAGTACAACTACTTCTGGAGCAGAATAATTTACATGTTATAAATCATAACCGTGAGCAATAAGAACAGTCTGCCACAAGGCCTAGAGCTTTGAGCCGGAAGATGTGGCCTGTGGCCATCTTGGTCCGTGTCTTTTGCCAGACACATCAGCCATGTTAATGTATACTGAGGCATTGTTATAATGTGTATCTATACAACTGATCAAAATCTGGGCTGTTGATTCTGTGTTCTGCGTATTTTTACACTGTTAAGCACTTAGAGTGAAGCAACAGACAGCAATTCAAATTTAAATTTTTACTTTGGGTAACTTTCATCCCTGTTAAGGTTTGGACTATTAATAGCCTTGCATATGTTAGATTCAGTAGATTAAATGTATGCAGTTCAATTACTCCATAAGTAGTTAAATATTTGCACTTTAAAAATATTAAATAGTAAGATTTTTGATATCAATTAAATATTATAGTATTGCAGCTTTTGTGAGATTTGCCTCAGCTTTCAAAAAAAATATTCTGCATCTTCATTGAAAGACGTGTCCTTTAACAATCCCATGAGTAGTTGCTTAGTATGGGTTTAACTGTAGTTTAATTTTGTCTTCATAATGTCAACAAATTACTGTAAAATGTATCATTTAAGTGACTGTAAACATGGGGCAACTAGTGTACTAGCTATGAATCAATTCAGAACTGAGTGCCAACCAAAGTAAATTTTAAAGTATGCTTGCTTGTATTTATTGTGGAAGGTAGCTTTATTACAGCATCCTGCTAATAATGTTATAATAAATATTGAGAAGAAAATTAGATGCAAAAGCTATACAAGCAAGTCAAAATATTGTTTAGAGAGATGCCATCAGAGCTGAAATTTTCAAGATTACAGGTCTGTTTTTCCATCTCTTTCTTTGTTTATTTGTAAAGAAACCTAAAAGAATGCCTATTTTTGTCCACTTCAAACACAAATTTTTGTATAGAGAGGAAACTAAGGTCTAAGTACTTTTATACAGGAAACACTATTCAGGATCGTTTATTTTAGTGTTCCTTTTGCTTTATTGCAGATAGGCTAGTTTGAATAGAAAACTCTCTGGCATCCAACTTCTTCATCTCCTACATTATGTAGTGAAACCGGAGAAAGATAAAAAGATGAACTGAGAAGGGATTTAGTCACCTGTTTACCAATACTTTCTTTAACAATTGTCAAATGTGTATCCTCAGCAGGATGAAAAAGAATGGGTTTGTGCTTGTATGGTGATTAAATAGCCATAACTCTTCCCAGTATGAGAATTAAAGAGCGTGTTCTTGTATTTAGAGTTCTTTTCACTTGGGTTAATCTAGCATAACTGAGAGAAAGAAGTAATCGGTGGTGAACAACATGATTTAGAGATTTATTTGCTTAGCTGAAGGTTTTGTGTTCGTTTTTATACATGTTGAATGGACTGAGGACCACACTTTGAGATATTCTGAGCTATTCTGTTGGGTCTAAGCCTCCTTCTGGTCTTGAAACAAAAGGTAAAACTTTGATTTAGAAAGTGAACTATACCTTGAAGAGAAGCTGAAGAGAAGACAAGAAAACAGAAAAGAAAATGAAAGTAAACTTTAAACTGAAAGGAAGCCTTGAAAAAAGAGAAGGCGAATCAGCCTAGAGATTGTTTTCTTTAGCATGTTGGAAAAATCTGAGCTCAGTGTTTGGCTTCTATCTCTTGATTTTATGTACTGGCTAGAGTTAGGTCATTTATATTTAGCCCCCCTTGGGAGTGCCTTATGTTGCAAAACAGTCAGTGCTCTGCTTGACTAGAAGAAAGATTCATGGATGCTTTATTAATTAAGTCCAGTATATGAAAAAAAATTCCTTGTGCTTTCTGAAATTGCAGTAAAGTAATATTGAAATTGCTCAAAAGTTTTGGGGGCTTGGAGGGATTTAAAAGCTCATTTTGAAACTTTTACCTAACTTATCCTTACTACATGGACATATATATGTAATTGTGTAGTGTGTGATCGTCCTATTACGTTTTGTTACGTTAAGATTTCTGAATCTGTCTTTTGAATGATAATCTTCTTGCATCAGATCTGGAGCTGAGTAAATAAAACTATATTAAAAGCTGTATTAAAATTAGCAGGTCTTTAAAAAATTATATCGTTTCAGCTTAACGGTAGCTTTGTGCAAAAAAGTATTGCTGCTTTGAAAACACAACTGTTCAACCAGTTTGCATAAAAGTGTTGTGAGTGAAGTCCTTCTCTGTGTTAGATAGAGTTCATGTTCTTAGTTTTTTCTGCTTCAGATGATGGCAGGATTACATACAGAGCTGATTTTATAATTAGTTTAAAAGGATCTTGGCAAACTTGTATGTAGTGAATACAAATGAGATGTTTTATGTGATTTTTTTTTAGAGAGTAATCTGTATTTTATTTCTCATATATAATTAAAGATGTAGAATAACTGTATACAATTAAACTTTTGAGTTTAGAAATCGAGGTATGCTTTCTTTTCTTTATCTTCAGGTCATCTGCTTTGAGTGTAACGTATCTTTTTGGGAAAAAAAATGTTTGTAAAGCATATTAAGTTTTGTTTGGCCTTCCTTTCCATTCAAAGTATTCACTGGACCCTAATGTGAAGTTGTGATCCCCGAGGCTGATTGATATGTAAACATAAGGCAGATGGTGTAGAGATGATTCTGATGATAATTCATTTTTCAGCTAGTCATGAAGATACTTTGATTACAGTGTGTTTAAGTAATTATAACGTAGTATTCAATGTTAGTCTTGTTGGTAAGGAACACATGGGAAACAAGTTACACGTTATTCAGGCCCAACAAAGGATGCACTGTGGTGTAACCATTTTAATTCCTAATGCAAGATTAGAAACATAGGACTTTAAAATATGTCATACAGTAAGGTAAATACATTAAACATAGTCTGAGTAAAAAGTTAAGCACGTAGTTTTTGGCATAAATATTTGTTTTGGAAAGTATTTGTCACTATATGAAAGAAGCCAGTATGCTTGAATTTAGATTTCACTTTGCATGCAGCTTGTTAAAAAGTTAAATGCTTGTTTTTAGGCTTACATGAGTCCCTCTTATAATGCAGTTTGCTTTATCTTTTATAAGCATTGTAAATCACAGTACTCAGAAAAAGGTAAACAGCATTCATGAGATTCAGTTAGAAAACATATTTTGTTTTTACATCAATTGTTCACAGTCATCTGTAATAGTAAGCAATGTTTACAGAAAATGCTGATGGCATTAGCTGACAGAAAAACACAAGCACTTACATGAAACAAAACAGTATATTAAAGAAAATCATACCAATATTTTTTAAAACTCTTCCAAATAGATATACTTTAAAATTTAACATTATCTACTCCATAATTTACTATCCTTTTTTTTTTGGTCTATTTCTGCAATAGGATAATTGACCGTCTAGATGGAGTTCGTTTGTTATGGTCATTGCTGAAAAATCCTAATCCAGATGTTCAAGCAAGTGCAGCTTGGGCTATCTGCCCTTGCATTGAAAATGCTAAGGTGAGAAAGTATTAAAAATAATATTTTTGTTACCTGTATATAATTTTTGTGTTTGAATGATTTTCAACAATACTGTGGCATTTGCTGCTTACACTCACTCTACTTCATTCTTTGAACTGCTTTAAATAATTGATACGTTTTTTTTTTTAACACAACAGTAAGCCTCCATCTAGTGCTCATTACAGCATTCTATTTTGCCTTTACAGTGCTTATTTTATTTGGAAAACATATTTTAATATTTTACCAGGACCTAAAAATACTGTTCCCAAATAAAGCATGCTGAAAATGCCCATATGACAATGCAGGAAACAGAAATCTTCTATTGACAGGCTATGAACAGGACAGGTAGTTGTAGTTGTTCTCCACTCTGAGGTACTTTAGCTGTTCTCAAGAGACAATCTTTTCGGTTGAGATCGTATTTTAGACTCAGTGCCAATGTAATCCTTAGATTCTCTGCTCAGACTGCCAACAAAAAGTGCCAATTGTGAATAGTGGTTGTTGTGTGGGTCAGCTGTGCACAGAAGACTGAGCTATTCATTTATTTCACATCAGCTTCCAAAGAGAGATAAAATGGTGAGTATAATCTGTAACTTATCTTCAATGAATTGGTGCCACTGACCTGTGGAAGAATAAGTGGGGAAGGCTTTTTTTTTCATTATAAGTTCTTTAAAATAGTTCTCTAAATTACTAAGCAGGCTTTTAGCCTTAACACTTGTGCAATAACATCTTCCATTTCTAATTCACAGCCAGATTTAGTACAACTTTAATTTCTTCTCTCTACCACAGATCTATATCCTTCCACATATCATTTGAGAACCTGACCCTCTAAAAAGTGAGAGTGCCTTGGAAGTACTAGATATCCTAAGCATCCTTTGCAAGCAGTGTTTCCTACTTAGAATTGAGCACTATATGGTTGCTATTAATTTATATTGATATAGAAGTAGATAGATGTAAATTATATAGATAGATGTACGTATAGCTATATTGATGAAGTTATTGAAAGAACATTTGCTCTTGATTTTTAAAACTTGCTACTTTTTTACTTTTCTGTTTCTTCACATCGATTTCTACAATGACAGCTTCCCTGTCATTTTTCAAACATGTCAGTTATTCTGAATTATTTTTCCATCTTTTTTTTCTGAATATAGACTCTTATATAAAAGTTCCGTTATGTATTGATGTGGTTTGTACATGTTTATCAAGATACGGCTATACCTGCCTCTTTCTAGCAACAATATTTCTATGGGTGAATGTTAAAATATCATTTTACCTCACAGTACTGAGGCAATACTCATTATGTATAAGACTTCATGAGCGGTAGTGCCGTGGTAGAGCTCCACTTTCCACTTTAAGCACCTTTTCAGAAGTTATTGGGGTGGAGGACAGCTACTGAAGTCATAGGCTACATGAATTTTCTTCTTTGTTTTTTCCCCTTGGGTATTTAAAGAGTTTAAGCTATGTACATCCTCAGTGTATCTGTCCTCCTTTCATCTCTCATGGCTGCCTGCCCAAATGCTAATCTGTGACCCCACAAAGAGTTCTTTGTATGAGACTGAGGCAGAGTGGCACATCGACACAAACCTACCAATACCCTTTCCTCCAACGCTGAATTGAAAGAGATATGCATGAAACATAGTGGATGTGAAGGAACTATCTATGTAAGCAAAATTTTGATTTTTTTATTCACAGTTAATAATATTTAACTATTTACATGATTTTCCAAGAAGCACAATTCAATTTATGCAGTACTAGGTTTGAAGTCAATGATAAGGGATTATGTGCATTCTGGCTTTTCCAAGCCTGTATGTATCCAGATACAAGCCTGGATACAGGCCTGTATCCAGACTGTAAACTGTGTTTAAAACAGCTTTGAGCTTGGATTCTGCATTTGTTTTCTTTTTGTTTTTATTTTGGGGAAGGTATAGTGATTGTCTTCTATAGTGCAGAGTTTGGTAGATGAAACAGAACTTGTTACCAGGATTAGAAACAAATTTTTATGACAGTGATGTTGTATGGCATCAGTTTTCCTGCACAAACACTTTTTGTACATACAAGGTATTTCCTGGTTATTTTCCAAGACATTTGTGATGGAGCTAATCTATCATTACTGACCTGGCTCTCGCTGTCACTGTATGTGAGTACACGTGTATCTCTCATGTACTTACTCTCACCATAACTTCTTAAGATTGGGAAGTCTACCATTTCTGTTTTACAGTGGGAGAGGAGAGAGTCACAAAAGGCCAAGGCCTCAGTTCACAAGGGTAGGTGCCAGCCACTTCTGAACACTTGGATCTAACTAATTTGGCCACTGTCAGACAGGAAATTAATGGCAAGAAGGGAATAGAATCCAAGTGTCCTTAATCCTAGATTATATATGACAGCAGTTACATTATGGTAACTGATTTGGAGTACTTCCCATAGAACAGAGCTGTAGAATTGGATTGGAAAGTACTGTTTAGTGCATCAGTATGATTCAGGTTGATGATAGTTGGTCCCCGGCAGATTTAAGACTTTTAAAGTAGAGCATGTAAGTTGTACAGTCTCATACATAGACTGTTTCAGCTCTGACAGCCACAATATCAGTTTGATGTCAGTAATCACTTCTGTTTACCAGTGTTAGTTCCAAGCGTTTTTTGCCTTAAGACTGTTTGTAGAACAATGGTGTTGCAGGTTTGCAGTGGTGTAATTTGAGTGGCAGAACCGTCCTAAGAAAATTTACATAGCACCTGGTCGCTGATACTTCTGAGCCTTAGACAATAAAACCTGATCATGGACAAATTAATTTATGCATTTATCTAAAAAATACAACCAAAAGTGGCAAGAATAGCATTAATTGAAAATAATTATCTTAGTAGAAGCAGATTTATATTAATTAATTCCTTACTTCCAAAAGGAAAAGTTACTACTGCAGGCACGTTGGTAATGGCAAAGTAGTAGTAGACTGTCCAAGAAACACACATGATTATGAAAAATTGCTAAGAAAAGTCTACTCAACTCTGTTGATGTTGGAACAGCAACATTTGGTTATGATACTACTTTGAAAAACAGTATTTTTAGTGTTCTCCCAGTATACATCAATCCAAACAAGAATTCAGAGAAACTCTACAAAGATGTTATTTGGGCTATTATAAATTTCATCCGAAGGCATCATGCCAGTAAGAGGGGTGCTGCCAACTTGAGTTTGTATTAAAATACCTATTTCCTCAGAGAGTAACCTTTAAATAGCATGTCTTGAAATTAAAATAAATATTGTAGAGGTTATTCTCCTTCCTTGTGTTTAGTAGAGTTTTGGGACAAACATTTGAATAGGAATGGTAATATTAGGCCTACTTCTTTTGTCTGTGCTTACATATCAGCTTTCAGCTTTTGATGTTTCAGTTTTAACTTTTATTTTTGCTACAACTATAAAAGCTTTCTTAAAAAATCTTGAGAGAGCTCATTAGGTATGAAGTCTGTCAAACTAACTTAAGTATTAACAGTCTGAGATTGGGGATTTGAGGGAAGAGAGAGAGAAAGGTGTTTATTCTGGTCTCTTAAAATGTGCTTGTAAAATGACATCTCACACTTTTGTGATAAAGTGTTTTTTTTTCCAAGTTTGTTGCATCCCTTTCAGCCCTGGAGTGGAATTTTATAGGCATGATGAATGGTCAGCCATGTAAAGATGCCTGTGTATTTCCTATGTGTGGGGAAAGAGAATGTCCATGTTGGCCCCAAAAAATCAAAACCAAAACTGAACCAGGTTTAAGTGGCAAGGGCCATGAGATAAGTATGTGTGAAGGTCTGGTAGCCTCCACTCTTGCAAAAGCGTTATATAATGAGGATGTGATTCCTACTGGAGCCAGCAGTTTGGAGTAAACCTGTGTGGGGAGGAAATATGCTGCTGATGACCCATACTATTTAGACTTTTTATATAGATTCTACTTGTTACGGAAATTTGAATATAACCATATGCATAAAATCACAGAGAACCTTTCTATTTAAAACTAACAAATAAAGGTTGTTGAACCTGGAAAATCTTCTGATATTTAACAACTAGTAAAATTATAACCAGTTACTGTTTTAAATGAATTAAAATGCTTTGTTTATACATTTTACTAATAAAAAATGTGGTATATAAAGATTAGTGGTTCCCCATAATGCACACTGTTGTTTATTTTGTTTTTATATTTTAAAAATTATACTTAAATAGTACCAATACATTTTTGTTTATGTACCCTTCTTTGGTTAAGCCCATGATGTCAAAATTCCCTGCTTGAGTATGTACAGCACTTTCCAATTTCTTTGTTATCCTTGCTATGCTTCTTGCATTTATATACAGAAACCTTGGCAGTTTAAACTTAATGCTCTTACTGCTCTCTTCCCATTTTCCTACTTGTTTTCTCTAAACGTAATCCTTTTTCTTTAACTTCATTCATACCCACTTTTCTATATTTGACCTCATTTTTATGCAGTTCTGAATCCTTCATATCTGGATGTAGACTTTCCAAATTTTAAAGTTTTTCTGACAAACTTATCTTTGCAAAATCTACTAAAAGAGATCCAAACGGAGTTTTTGGCTTGCCCCTTAGGGCTTCCAGGGCATCACACTCTCTGGAGAGTTAGGAAGCCCAGGCGGTCAGAGCTGGCTCAGTGAATCCATAGCTACCTGCCATGCTTGCCAGCAGGCAGAAAGAACCAGCCTGTTTGATGATTCTTGACATAGGCTTCCTAGAAGCTTAGTGAACCAGCTGTCCTGGGGAGTCTGGGAACCTACAGACTTGTTACCCTAGAGATCCTGAGGGCACTGCCATAAATTACCAGAGGTCCCTTAGGCCCATCAGTGACGCCCAGTTCACGTAAAAACACATAGCCTGAAAGCAGGGAAGGAAAGAGAGACTAAGAGCATAACCCATGTCTCACTCATTGGGGAGTCTGAGATCCTAAGCTCCATGCAAAGCAGCTGCCTGGGAGCTTGGAGAACATAAGAAGCCAAAAAGCTTAGGAGCTTCTGGAGACCTGGC